ATAATATTACTGAAAATAAATTCAGAATTATATGCACCGGTCTTTAAGTTTGAAGGGAAAAAAATATGAGTTATTCAAAATCGAGTAAATCCTGCATGGATTCCGAAGCGGATAACTAGTATTGAATTTCTAAAAGAGACACAGACGTTAAAGTAACAATAGTGTAATGCTGATATTTCTATATTAGGTGTTAAATAAAAGCTCAATAAATACCAATCCTCTGCAATTGACTGTGTTATTCTTAGCGGTACCATGATATGATACTGGCCAGGAATTTTTATCAATACCAAGCCATGTGTCATCGCCATTATCATACTTTCTAGAGACTTTACAGCGAATCGTCTTCAGCCACATGGTTTGATACTGAATACCCTCCCCCCTGCATGTATATCTTTCCTCTATCATTACTATTCGTAAAATCATGATGATGCCTTGGGTCCAAAATTTCCAAGTAATTACCATCACTCACGCGAAAATCGATATGTAATGTAGACCCTTTTTGAATTCTGTAGTCAGCACACGTTTTACCATCTTCCAATTACTTACCTCCAAAAACTAGCTTTTGCTGATCGGGTGGAACACTGTTCTAAATTGGAAATTGTATCACTTCCTCGAACTTTAAGTATCACGATTTTTACCAGCAAATCACGACGGGTTTTCCTTTCTTGAAATTCTTTTTCTGATATAAAATCTTTCAAAAGGTCAATGTCACTAGAGATCGTCATGATTTATTATGAATTTACAGATAAGATGGAATTTTGTTGATTATGATTTTTGATTTTAGTAATGACCCTTACGTAGTTATATTAAGTTTTAAAAGATGTTTACCAACATATAGAATGCTATAAAAATAATTAACTTAATTTCAATATTTTTTCCCCCAAGCAATATGTCGAAAAAGACAAATTTTCCCATAAGAAAAGTATTTGGCAACAATTACAATGTGTCATGTGTTTCAATTTGCAAGAAATTTCTTCGATAGTAAAATGATAATATTGTAATAATGATTTAAAATCAAATCGTTTGGCATTGTAATTCATTAATCACGATGTCAAAAAAAATTTTTTAGTATATGTAATAATTTCTGCTGAGATATTTTAAAAGAAAGATGTTTTATATTACTCTAAGATTTCCCATTTTTGGTTCCCAGAAAAGAGTATAATA